TCGATTTGTTTTCTTTTCTAAGCAAAAACAACAGTTATCATCAAAAACAGGAGAGTGAAATATAGTTCCTGCAGGTTTATAATATCTTATAGCATTGAAAGATTTAGCATAACTAGAATATTAGTCATAATTTTGATTTGAATGTTTACAACATAATCATATCGGGTCTTAAATAACTTTATTTATCAGGTTAAAGACATCCAGGCGGAAGCTAATTGCCTTGACATTTTTGGCAGAGATGAATGCTTTCCAGGATTCCTTGGTTGTCTGGAGATCAACTCAAGTACCATCGGTCTTGCTATGGAGTTTATTGGTGATCCAACCACGGGGGAGTCCTTTACACTGAGCCGAGACATCAGAGAGTTAAATCTCAGTCAGCATGATTTGTAAGCATGTTGTTGTTGTTGTTTTAGTCTTAAGGGCGTGTGTCATTCAATTATGAATATTTACGCATTCATCTTCATGATATAGTCTTAGTCAAGATAGAAATAACGCTAATAAAACAAGTCTATAATCAAGTTCCTTTTCGAACGCCTTTCTTTTCTTTCTCTTGAATAATTTCAGTATGCGACTGTCTCTGGACACTGCCAAGGCTCTTGGTCGCCTTCATGAGATGGGCTATCTCATGAATGACTTGAAAGAGGACAACTGCCTGATGCGAAAGACCGAGACTGGTGAATGGCAGGCAGTCATCGTAGACTTCGGTCTCGTCTGTCCTCGGGCCTCCCCTTTTTCCTTCAGCTTCTCAGACGAAGACAAGGAGAAATACCGCAATGGGGTATGTGCGATGGATTTCTCGTTATTTACGTTATTGAAATTGTGCTCTTCGATTTGGGGCACGAAAATCTGACGAAAAGTCTTTTTTGTTGTTGCTATTTTTTCTAATCTCTTAAAGTCGAAATAAAGACACTAACAAACGAACAAACAAACAAATAAACGTTAAAACAGCTAACAAACAAGCGTGCAAACAAATAAATAAAAAATATATTGGACATTATTTTGTCAGTTTTCTTCTCTGCCCCAAACTTGACATCTGTAATTTATAGCGAAATACGTTGACAATCAATTATTTATCTTAGATTAACAGAGGTCGACTCTTCAAATCTTTTTTAAATCGACAGGCGCTCTATGTCCACATCGCCCCCGAGTGCGCACTCGATGATCAGAACACCTCGATCTCGAGTGACGTCTTCCAGCTTGGACGATTGTTGACGATGATGGGAGTAGCATCTAACAATGCCGACCTCACAGCCATCGGTAATCTGTGTCGTCAAAACTCTTTCATCAATCGTCCTAGCGTCGAAGATGTCGTTGACGAGCTGGAGAGGGTAATGTAGACAGATACTGTTTTCAAAAATATGTCAAACTCTATTTTTCTATTTCATTATCGACACAAAATTAGCTTTTATTGCTGAAAATGTGTCAGTTCTATTCAAAGATAACTTTCTAGATGATCTAGCTATAGGTCTATACTTCAACAATAATAACTAGATCAAACTGTTGAAAGCAAAATCAATGAACAAACAAGCAAAACAGGCAAAATGGTTTATTTCATTAAGTACTAGAAAAAGGCGTTATGGGAACTCGAGCCATATCATGAATAATATAGTGATGAAGAGTTGGAATTATTTTTCCCGTGCGATATAAATAGGAATCCATACCATCAATGCCATCGAATAACGAACGTAATTAATATTACCTATACTCAATGTTTATAACTTTTCCTCAAAATTTTCAGCGATGGGTTTTTCTGAGATTCTAGACATTTTGATTAGCAATTAGACCACTTTCACGCCTACGTCAAAATCAAAATTGTATGTAGGCTGTGATTAGAAGGATATGATTTGAAATCGAACTGCTGCAATTTCATCCATTTGAATATTAATAAGAAAATTAAATAGTTTGACATCTTTTTCAAATTAGTCCACAGTATCTAGGTAAGTATTTGTAAATAATCATACTATTTTTGTAAATAATATATCTCATTAAGGATCGGGAGACACAGTGACTGATGAGAATATTGATGAATATTGTAATAAAAGCATGAAAGAGTTAAGAGTGCACATTCAATTTCATTTCGAAGGGTGGCTTCAAAAGAGAAAAGGGGGAGGCTTACGCCGGCTACATTCTATGCTCAATATGCCACTAAATGTAAATGTTTATTGCACTCAAAAACAATATTACAACAAACTATGGAGCAAAATTAAAACGAAACGCATTTGCAAATTATTGAAAACAAAATCAAATCACATGCACTGTTTACTTATTGAAATAATTAAATTATGATTAATTTATTAATCTTTCATGAATATTGATAGGTTTCTATGGAAATTCCTAAACATAATAAACGGAGATGGAATAATCGATTAACCGAAGGTAGTCCATCACGGTACAGAGCGGGGGTGGGGCTCTGTACACCGGGGCATTGAGTGACCCAAAGAGGGGGGGGGGGGTGATGTTAATATATTTTTGTTGTTAAAATAAGCATCTGTAGAAAAACTAAGCCTATTCCTGATCAATCTGTCGAAGCATCAGCATAATTTATGCAAAGTTTGGGCTAACCCTTCCCCCTCTTCGATCTGGCTATACCCTACATAGTGATACTTCTAGAATTTTGACAAATCGCACTAGTATTCTGTTCGTAACCAAATTTTCAAATATTAATTTTAGGCAGTAAAGAATCCGTCAGAGATTAGATCTATCAGCAATGTTATTCATTTTAGCTGTATAAATTATAGCAGACCGGTAAGGGAATACTAACAAAATCAAAGGGGCTATATTTTGAGAAAATAAAAGTAAAGGGAATTGAACTTGAAGTATGAATGTTGCCTGTATATTTTATACAAAGATAATTATGATACCATAAAACACTGCAAATTCGTTGTGTAACGACTTTACACAACATCCGGTGGTTTACTCCTTACACAGGGGTTGTGTTAAGTTGGGTAAAAAAAAATTACACAACTTTACACAACGAATTTGCAGTGTAAAGTTGTGTCAATTTTTTTTTGTACACAACTTAACACAACCCCTGTGTAAGGAGTGAACCACAAAATGTGGTGTAAAGTCGTTACACAACGAATTTGCAGTGCACTGTGGATTTTAGAGATGAAAGTTCTTAGCAATTTGTGGAGGAATTGGAGCAATTCGGTAAGATTGCTATAGCTGGTCCGGTGATAAAAAAAAGCAAAATAATATTAGAATTGCTTGGGCCAGTTGAAGATAGAGCTGTCAAACGTTATTATGAAATGGAGAAATATATACCAAACAAATTTTAAAGAGAATAAATTGAAAAAGAAATGGCCTTTCACTTTAGAAAAAAAAAATTCTCATATATTTAAACAACTAATTTTGTCATAAAATATGTTTGTTTTTTATCTGCCACAAAGTTTTCGGTCGTGATGATTGTTATCTGTTTTTAAACCATTATGTATGAAAATTATTTCTTTAGTTATTTGTAGAAATGTATGGATATACTGTCATTGATGGAATTTGTTTTGAAAATAAAGAACCCTGTGAAAGGGGGAAATGTAGCTTTGCCGAGTTAATTGATTTCATTTAAATTTGTATTTGTATTTGTAAAACATGGTTAAAAAATATAATAGATATATATCAATCTGGTGGTACAGAAATTCCAAATAGCATAAAACAATGAATACATAACAAAAATATTGGGCGTATATGAAATTGTGTTCTACAATAGAAATTATTAAGCACATCTAAAATGCCCTACATGCCTTTTGGCGAGGTAGACCATGTAAGAAATTAGATGATGGTAAACAAAAAGAAGAACACACTTAAGATTTGAGCATTAACATAACGAGAAAAAGAAAAAATTGAAAGTTTATAGAGGGAAAGCGGGTTGAATGAGTATTTAAGGGAGGAGAGAGGGGAAAAGGGGGAGAGTTGAAAAGGTATAAGTGGGTCGAATAAGCACATGGGAGAAACAGAGAGTGAGATGGAGAGAGAAAAGGGCCCAAGAGGACTCTAGTGTAGATCAAAATAAATAGTGAGAGAAAAGACAAAGGATAACATTATAAGAAAAAAATTAGCAATTTAGACCTGGTAGTGAAATAACATTGGGACTCGAAATTATATAGAGAAGTGATAAAAAAAAAGTCAGTGAATATTTGGATAATGAGATTGACGCTCAAAGGATAATCAAGATTACTATGTTTATTTCTCAAATAATCCATTTAATTATGTGCTCGTTCCCCAGATTGTCAGAAAAAGATTGAAGAAATAGAAATCTATGAATGGATTCTGAAAGGTGCACAAAGTGGAACTAGAAATAATAATTGTTAGAGACTAAGCCGAAGAAGGAACGAGAATGATTACTTTTGTTACACATACAGTTTTAGACTCAAATGGCTCAGGGGAGAATTGTGACTTTAACAAATAAGTACTGTAAAGATATAGATTTGATGTACTTCCAGGCATTTATCGGTTTGCCTCTACTAAATGATGGAGAACATTAAATTTTTTGAAGGAGGAAATATATGACAAGTTGCTCCGTGGTGTTCAAGTTGCTCCAGCCCACAGACTTGTCCTTTGCTCCAGCCCCGTCTCACCCCCACACAACTTTGGATAAATATCGTCGCTGTTTTCACGAAGTGACGGTAGTGAAAAAAAATTGCATTCACTTTGCGTTACGATTATTCTCACTACCGTCACTTCGTGAAAACAAGGACGAATTGTTATATTTTTCCTCAGTAAACATAAGGGAGGAATGAACAATAAGAGAGATAAGGATTATTATGTTACTGTACATAATTATACACACAAACATTTATTTTTTTCTCAAGCAAAAGGTGTTTATTGGAGGACGGGGAATAATGCACACCAACTCGTTGACATTTAAAAAATAATATATAGAGAAATTTTAAGTTGTTTTTCCTTCTACTTTGGCAAAGTTTAGCATAATGTAATTTCTGGCACAGAACTGGCGCCCTCGCTGTGTTGAGCTAGCTGTGTTTAATCAGCCAATCGTTTCGCTGGATTGGAATTCGCCGCCCGATGATATCGCGATTGCGTTTCGAAGGTGACGAGCTCTGTTTGGAAACATATTGAATTGAGTGGGACAGGTGTCCTGAAGAAAAACACGACTTTCATTTAAAATTAACACTAGATATGGTATGTATTGATATATTTTAGTATTTGAATCCCTAAAGTGTGTCAGATTATGTTATTACTATCGGAATAGCGGGAATAAGAGCTTATTTGAGAGCAATGTTTATAAGGTCAGTCCCATTCGTTCAGATACATGTTACTAATCTAAAGGAAGCTAGGTCGTTTGCTCAAATTAAATTCCTTCTCCTTGTTTAATTGACTCTGACTTCTGGTGGGCTACTGCATAAACTCCTCAGCTGTGATGAAACATGCAGGCGCAGTCGACTAAGCACAGTACTTAATTTCTAAAGTGGGCTCTAGCAATTATTTTGCCTTCTTCTTCAGACTCTTCACTTCAGTCACTCGTGAAGATTCTTGCAAAGTTGCATTGATTGATTGATGTTTACTTACTTTGATGTTGAAGCATACAGATGAACCTGTTTGCCCCTCCAGGATTGATATAAAATTAAAAAGACAATAATTCTTTTTTAGACTTGGTATGTGCAATGATTTGCATCTTTAGTTTTTAACATGTAAAATCATACTCGTAGCAAATAATGTTGTGTAAATTTAATCACTGAAGTGGCAAGGGAATGAACTACATGAATGAAAGACGAGGAAGAATCGTAAAATAAATAAGATACAAGGATATATATTTGTGCATGTGTGTGTGTGAGAGTGATGGGTAAGTGAGTGTGTGAGAGCTCTAGATTAAATTAGACGATTTGAAGAAAACGGGAGGGAGATCTAGAGAGAGAGAAGAAGGGGGGGGGGGGTGAAAGAGATATCGAAGGAGGTTAGAAGACAGTGGAAGGCATGTAACAGTGTATACACATTTTGGAGGGGAGGGTGCTAATGCCAACCCATATGTTTGTTTTTGCACCCCTTGACCTTGTAAATATAAGATGGCCAGGGAAAAGAATGTTTTTCTGATATCCAAGCAAGCATGAATGGTTAATTGATTAAATACTTTTTGCTCTTACACCGTTTTCTATAGTCTGTACCGTTTGGTACTTGTTCATTGTGTTGTACACTATGATTTTGTTGTTGTGTTAATTTTGTATATTAATTTTGTTCATGATATTTTTGTGGTCCATAAGGACCAAAGACAGCAGTCAATTAAATGAAGAGACATCCCTGTTTAAATAACTGGAAGAAGAAAAAAAATTCTCCATTAAAAAATATACAGGACAGTGTAGAGTCAAACATGAATAAATCCCACTTTTTACATAGAAAATGTACATAACAGTGACTTGGTGAAGAGTGCCTATGACTGTGTAAAAAGTTTTAAATACATGTACTATACAGTATATCAATTTACTTACGGAACATGATTATGGCTTGGTTAGGAAAGGAATGTTCCTGTGACTTGGTGAAAACTTTATACTCCACTCAATGTACATAAATTTGGTCATAAAAATTCTTGATCTAGACCATACCTTACCATCTTGTGAATACGTAAAAACCAGTATATTTCTTAGGGCATGAAACAGAAAGTAGGCACCCAGTTTTGGGCAGTTGAATTTGTTTGGTCAAATCTGACAGAAGCTGACAGAATGATTCCCTGGATCCGTCTTACGGGCTTTCTCGTGGATTGGTACCATGTTTGCATGTCTCCAGTGAGTCTACAGGCACCTCACCTGTCTTGTATGATTGTCTGAATATCATGCATAGGATGGGGCCATGGTACTAGCCAGTGTCTTCAAGACCCGTGCTGTAATGCCATCTGGACCGGGAGTCTTCTGAGCTTTAAGGGATTTATTTTAGCATCTTCTCTATCCTTAATGCTTTTATTTCAAACAAAGTCAGGCATATCTTCATACAGTGAAGAATCTGGCAAACGATTAGAAATGGGTGTTTCGTTGGTAAAGACTTTCTTGAACTAACCATTTGGGCCATTCCATGGTAACTCGCGTTACACATAATGGGTACATTAACAGGATAATATTGTAATTGCTAGGATTTACAAGTTGCTTTTTTCAACATGGGTAGGGTAGACATAGAAGAACTAAATGAACCAAATAAGAAAAACAAAGGACAAATATATTGAGATTCTTGAATCGTTGAATTTCGGTAACTCGCGTTACAAAAAAAGGACATGGTCAATCCTGTAAGAGCATCTTTTGGCAAAGTCTCCTCATACTAGCCAATCTTTGTAAAACCTTTCCTACCTTGACTTGATAGTAGGTTATGACTCATAACTTTACAATATAAACATTAAGAAACAATGAACAGGTAAAGTGTAGGAATCATATATATTGGTAACTCGCGTTACATTATGTCCATTCAAATGGCCTGACACATATTGATGGGATACAACTATTCTGTTGCCACTGCATCTTGATTTAAGTGTTTTTACAGATGCACACTATTGTATGTAGTAAAATAAAGACATCAAGAACAATAATTTTATTCATAAACCTCTAACGTTTAAATTGCAAGCTTCACTCCCACAAATCCAAGTGTCATTGAAACGTACATAACTTTAAAAAACCCTGATGATTTACATTGTAATTTTCATTGAAAGATGTTTAAATTTGAACAAATATAAATTTTTATAACATAATGAACAAAGTCCAGAATCACACTGTACTTGATAGTTAAGATTTGCCTTATGTTGTTATCAAAAACGATATAAAGTAAGGACAGTATAGTATCCAACAACTCTTACAGAAGATGTACAATGTACAGGTATGCAATTTTCAACTCTTTGGTTATTCAATTAAAAGTGAACACTGTTAACAAGTTTGCAAAACACAAATTAAAGTTCATGTACATGTATATGGTAAAGAGTGCAAACAAGTAATCCTCCTTTTCAAATTAACTTTTTTTTGTATAGAAATTGTATTTCACACATTAATTATTCAAATACAAATGTAAAAAACAACAACTTTTGTAAAGCATTGTAACATTCATAAACAACTTTTTTTTGGTAATTTGTTCTTTAAAATGACAGTGAAGAGATTGAATACAATTTTTAAAACAATCACACACTCTGGAGAAATTTGAATCCTTATTCTAACATACAATTGACTGTTTTGTAGTAATGTCTATTATGTTTTGTATTTGGAATATTATTGTAAAGTAAGATTATGAATGTAAATAATATAAACAATTGTCCTTTATGGACATAATAAAAAAAATCAATGAAATTAAATGAAATGAAATGTCCTAAAACTTTGCTTTGAATCTGTAGTGGCTCCTGTTATTTGCTATTTCTGGTTTTTCTATCTTTAGAACCATGTTCTTCTTAGGGTAGTAGATCATATCCCTGGGTGTCGGCCACTTCCAGTTTTGCCCAGCTGGCTTCATTACAGATACCCTGTAATCATCCTTGGCACCAACACCTACCACCTCACCAGGGTATAGAATGCCATCATAGTCAACAGCATACCAATCTCCTACGTGTATGGCCGCTCACCATTTGTAGATATCTCATCATTGGAAGACTGGTTATCAGTTGAGAGAAGATAGCAGACAACTTCATTGTTAACATGCTTCATGAAGTGCATGTGGCTGATTCCATTTATTGGACTTGCACTGTCGAACACAGATTTTAAGTCGAGCATCTGGTTTCGCTCCTGTATCTCATCATCTGTTAACTCGCGGACGGCCACACCAGACATATGTGTGGACACCTTTTTCCACACATGGCGCTTCACTGAGCCCCCAATGCCATCCACTGGCCCTTTCCCATGTGACGTACAGAAGAAATTCCATTGAACTTGTACGTTGTGCTTCTTCTGTAAGGCATCAATGGCTGCTGATATGAATCTGTTCTTGAATTGTGATGCCGAACCATCAGACCAGACATACACAAGTTTGACTCCATGAGGCAAGGGATCAAGCAGGGTGTCCAACTGTCCATGTATGCCATGATTGTTTCTTTGGAGTGGGTCAGATTGTCTGAGGCGACAATGTGAGACTGCATCAAACCTTTGTTCCAGATGGCTGCAGTGAAAAGGCTCACCTGCCGTTGACGCCAATGGGCTGACTGAATTTCATCTTGGTGAACACACGTGTAGTTCTCTGAAAAGTCTACCTGCAGGAGAGCAACTTCATTATCTTGATCTTCAGACATGGCCTTCACTTTTTGGGCATTACATGATGCTGCCTGTTCTCTTTTGAAGAAGCAGTGCTCCAGAAAGTGGGGCAGAATTTTCTTGATGTGATCTAGGAGCTCCTCAGTTGTACCATTCTCCTTGGCTTTCATCATTCGCCCGTCCTCATCTGCCTTGTGCTCTTTGACCTTGTGTATGACCTTGAGTATGCTATTAATTGATCTCATTTAGGCTGCCCTCTTATGCTTAAACAGTGCATCATGGTCTGCATAACACTACATCTCATTATGTTCACCACACCTTAGCCCAAGTACAGGTCAAGAGCTGCTCATGCTGGTGGGAACTTAGGTTTTTAGCTGGTAACTCGCGTTACATTGTGGTAACTCGCGTTACACGGTAACTCGCGTTACACTTTTCGTTGGCATTTTAAAAGATAATAACAATGTTTATTTGAGCAAACATCTTGCTTACAGGATTAGGGGTTAATGAATTTAGAAAATTATGATTGCCAACAAATTAGCTCTACTGATTTTTTTCAGAATGAAAAATAATCATATTTTTGGTAACTCGCGTTACTTGGCTCAAGTGCATATTTTGTGTGTGATGGTGAAACATTTTTGGGTGGTGGTGTAGAAATTTCCTCCGAGGGACTGAAGTAGACCTAATATGCCTTAGTATAAATCAAATTAAAAGAAGTCTTAACAATATTTTTCCATTAAAAAAAATATAATTTTAGTTAAGTATGTACATTTTAGCAGTTTGGATGACTAAAAATCTTTCTCATGTTTGTTGCTGTATCTCAGAAAATATTTGATCAATTGATGTAATTCTTTTTGTTTCTGTAACTTCAACATGTGTGTAAATCATAATGAATAATTTCTTAGCAATTTGATGAACTTGAAATTTTAGTGTCATGTCCACCTTCCCATGGAATGGCCCATTTAGGATTCTGGTCTTTGCTGTAGGGTCTGAGATGGGTCTTCCCTCAGCTTTGAGCACAGGAATTCCAGAGTTGTTACATGTACATGTAGATTGGTTGAATATTTAAGAAAAATTTATATTCTCTTATGAATGTACAAGATTATTTGAAATCAGGTTCACTGTTATTAATTTGTTTGATGCATATTTTTCATAAAATCCATTGGCAAAAGAGGCAGCTAAATTATGTTAAGTGTCCGGAAACCCCCCTCCCTATCCTTTATGCCCATGTCTGACACCAGTTCATTGAAATGGCAACTGCAATTGTATCAGAACAATATACATGCATCAATGCCCTACATGTAAGTTTGTCACAGATTAAAGAGCATCTCTTGGACTATCTAGAGAATTTTTTTTTTAGAAGTCTGTAGCATCCCGCAAACTTGAGATAGGAATTAAGGCAGAAAGGCATATTTATGGAACTGAAACAGAAAAAATGACACATGGACGGTTATGCATTCAATGATTTTGGAAAAATGAATTCCAAACAGAAATACTTTTTTTAATTTTGCTTCATTTTACATCATCTCCTTAAAAATTAATTTTGAATGCTTCTCAATCCACAGACAAGTCGTTACACCAAGACCACCCTGGCTGGGGGTCAGAGGAAGAAGACTGGTCCCAAACCAGAGCTTACAGAGGAACAGAAGCAAGAGATTCAAGAGGCATTTGATCTCTTTGATACTGAGGGAACAGGAACCATCGATGCTAAGGAACTCAAGGTAAGAAAGCCATTCTCATCTTCTTGAGGAAGGCATTTTATCTACATTGTTTCTCTCCACCCAGATTTTAAATTGAATTGAATTATATTGAATTTACATGAAATATTGATTTGAAAAATCATAAATATAGCAATGATGAATACTCAACATAATCATGAATTGATTTAGATTACGGTAGATATTTGAAATACAATATAATAGTCATTAGATGAATTATTAATGGTTACCTGGTAGGATGCAAATATCATTGTGATTGGATTAGCATGTTCATGTCTGTAAACATGAGGATATTTTACATCAGTCAACTAAATCTCTATTCACTTAATTTATGCGATGCTTTGAAATTATTGTAATCAAACTTTTGATGACTGATTGATTGATCCATTCATTACCTTGTCATGTTTCCGCCCATTGTATTGAAACAGGTTGCCATGAGAGCTCTTGGTTTCGAACCCAAGAAGGAAGAGATTAAGAAGATGATTCAAGACATTGATAAGGAGGGTTCAGGAACCATTGACTTCAATGATTTCCTACAACTGATGACTGCAAAGATGGTATGTCCTCAAATATATAGAAATATATAGTTAAATCAAAAGTTTTGCTACATGTATAAAGACCACTCATAGGAAAGAATAAAATTATTGTTATAGGCAGGTTGTATTTACATGTATGATTCAGTTTCAAGTATACAAATGTTGATTACTGCAAGTTAAAGTTTTCTACAGATTTGTCAAGTTTAACAGAAAAGGCAAAAAGAATGGCCACATGGAATGTAAGGACATTGTTTCAAAAAGGTAAACTAGAAAATATCAAGCAAGAAATGAAATGTATGGACTTCAGCATGTTAGGCCTCTCAGAAATCAGATGGATTGGCTCTAAGCATGATTTTTATGCCTCCGTTGCGTAGTAGCCGGAGGCATAATGTTTTCAGGTTGTCCGTATGTAAATTTACGTACATACCGATGTCCCATACTCGTGATCGCGTTAGGCCTAAAAAAAAAAATTGATGACTTGGCGTAACGGGTCACTGAAAATTAGGGTAGGTAGGGCGATTTTTTTTTTTTTTTTTTTTTTTTTTTTTTTTTTTTTTTTTTGTTGTTGTTGCTTATATTTGCATACATGAAATTAGCTATTCATACACATACATACATACAGTGGCGTAGATAGGTCCTCAGACCTTGGGGATGATCTGATGAGAGGGGTAGACCACAATATGTTCAAATAACTCCACGCACACACACACACATATATGGACACACACACTGTGCTGAATAAAACGTGAGCACCAAATTTACCCGTGAACTGAACGCCATAGGACGCCATGTTGGGGATACAATCGCCTAGCGGTACTATGGCGTACCTGCCCGCTGCACTCGGCGCGCGAGCTGGCCCAAACACGGCGCGGCAAAGCCCAGAACGAAAGCAACAAACATCCGGGTTTTCCCCACTGCGATATCGATATTTACGCAATCGCAATCGGATCAAAAAGAATAAAAAAGCGTAGGGTCGGCGATAAAAATAGGGTCGGGCGGGTTACGCCAAGTCATCAATTTTTTTTTTTAGGCCTAATCTCAAAACCGATTGATGAATTCCTGCCAAACTTAGATCATGTATGTATCTTGCAGAGCCGATGAATTGATTAGATTTTGGGGTCACGAGGCTAAAGGTCACAGTGCTCATTATGTATGCAAAAATAGCTTGTTATTGCATTATTATTAGAACCGATGGACGAATTACCATCTTGCAAAGCCAATGAACTGATTAGATGTTAGGGTCATGAGGTCAAAGATAAAAGGGTCATACATGTATATGAAAAATAGCTTGTAATCACGCTTTTCTGAGAACCTGTTAATGGATTACAATCAAACTTGAATTCAAAAAATTATTTCTGTTTTGGTGTGTGAAACGCTCTATGGCGGAGGCATCATTTTTGACTGTGCGCAGTCAAAGTTCCATCTACTTTTTAGATACTGAATTCAGGTGGTGCACAACATAAAAGAGGAGTAGGAGTTATTTTAGAAAAAAGAGACAGCAGGTACTGTCAAAGGTTCAACTCAGTGGAAAGCCTTTAGATATTGGCATTGTGAGGTTTATGCACCAACATCAGCTCATGATGATGCTAATGTAGAAGAGATTGAAAAGGCAATGAAGCAGTTAGGCTCACAAGACATGAAAGTTGTTTATCAAAAGGAGACTTCAATGCTACAATAGGAGAAGGAAGAACCAACTCTGTTGTTGGTCCATATGATCTAAATATGGTGAGTTAAGTAAGCATAGACATTTTCTGTAGTCACAAGGAGTTTGTAACAAGGTTTCTCTGATTTCAATATATTGCACAAACTTTGACATACAATCTCTTCATGAAAGTGTGTTTCCCTCTTTTCAGTGTCATTTATGGATAAGTCTAGATTTATTTTATTTTTTCATGTTCCCGTCTTCCTTTCTTCTTCAAATTTCAGAGTGAGAAGGATTCAAAGGAGGAGATCCTAAAAGCATTCAAGCTTTTTGATGATGATGAGACGGGCAGAATCTCCTTCAAGAATCTCAAGAGGGTGGCCAAAGAACTAGGTGAAAACCTAACCGATGAAGAATTGCAGGTAATCCATCTTGCCTATTAGGCTGTATTCCTATCTCAAAACCATTAAAGGGGGGAGCAATCTTGTAGAGAGGTGGTCTTTTCGCCAAAGTTCCTCAAACAAGATAAAGTTGAGTTCTGGTCATACAATTGCATTGTGAAAGAAACGGTGTGGAATCGATCAGAAAAGGGTTAATCATCTAGCAAATAGGTATTGAAGTGTACTGCCAGGTTTTGGAATCATCAAAATGATAAGAAATTTGACCCAGTCTTGGTAAAGTTACAAGCACTGTACACAGAAAAATGTATAAGGGGCTACACGAACATGTGGCATCAAAATCCATTCCCGAATTTTATGATGTTACATGCCATATTTAGAATATTAAGGCATTTGAAGAGCCATGCTTTTCAGGGAGCATGTTTTATCTTTATTTTTCACCTCTTCCCAGAACTCGACTTTCTCTTTAAGTACACATTTCCATGAGAAACCACTGTGCAGGGGAAACTTCAAAAAGCTTTTATAGGCAGCTTTTCCTCTATATTTATGCATAATTTGTTTTTATTATTCAGGGAATAATGCACTATTATGCCAACATTTAGTACAATAAAATTGGTTGGTGCATATTTATGAATGATGTAGTCACAAAATTTAATGCGATAAGAAATTTTTAGTGTAGCAATCAAATTATTAGGCACTGTTGATAATGGAAAGATATATTACTGAATTTGTAACCATTTTATTCATAGGATAAATGGTGTAAAATTATAGATCAAATGTGTCATATTTATATCAATGTACAAGCAAATATTCTTCTTTTTCTTCAAATTCTACAGGAAATGATTGATGAGGCTGACCGAGACGGTGATGGTGAAATCAACGAGCAGGAATTCCTCAGGATAATGAAGAAAACAAGTTTATATTGATGAAGTGATGATTCTACAAACCCTGTAAATATTGTAAATACTCAATGGAAGGTTGTCTTTTATGCAGGGCTCAACACTATAAACAGGTCCAAGTCCAAGGGCAGTGGAACTCTTTTAGCCCACTCAATACGAGTTGATTGTGGTATGATATGTGTTTACCATAGACCATGGCTTGAGTTATTTGGTCTTAGTATACAAATTCATGATCATTCTTTATTAACCTGTTGAATACTGAATTCTCTCATTTATGTAAGTTTAATTCAGGAACCGACCAGTTCTCATTGCCAATGGGTTAAATTTTCAAGAATGTTCCATGAGAGATAGAGCACCACTCTTCTTGTTTTGGGGAGTTTCCCTAAGTTAATGTTGAGCCCTGTATAATGTATTGAAGTACTGAGATTGGATGTAAATTATACTAATGTATAACTGTACTTGTGAATTATTGAACATGTATATAAGTATATTCATGTGCATCATAGATTCATTGAGCGTCCCACATGCACCATGTTACAACTTGGTTACTATATACATAAAAACAGAATAGTGTGTAACAATGTATTTTTTTACATTGAACATAAAGTTATATTTTCAGCATATAGGTAAATGGATTTCAAAAGAAATATGCTGTATTCCAGAGTATACATGAATACACTTGTTTGGATTTGGTGATTTAATTTTCTTCTTTGATAATTGAACATTCAGAATACACATTTCTACATAAGGCTGTGATATTAGGTATTTATTTTCTCTTACTGAAATTGTTAATAATCAATTAAGATAACCTCAATGTTTACTGAGGTAATCAATAGTTGATACAGCATTATTATATAAAAATTAAATATTATTATTATTATTATTATTATTAATATTATTATTACTATTATTATTATTCTTATTATTAATGGTATGTCAATAACTGAGCGAACTAGCACTATGGTATGAATCCTGTTATTTCAGTATTTGTTAGGATAAAGTAATAAACTTGTACAATGTAGCAACTTCTGATCTGGTTGAGCTAGTCTGTTGTCATATTGAGATTCATAATTCATTATCTCTTTAAATTAGAATGAACATTTCAGGTAAGGCTAAGTACTGTCTATAGTTTCTTAACCATTATGCTACTGTATTACTACTTTGCACCTCTTTTCTCTTCAAACTGTACACCAAGTGAACTTCTCAATGTGATCAACTTCACAGTAGTTATTCAGAATGTGATTTTCTTAAATGTATTTGATAGGTTATTATATATCTACACCAGCTGTTTTTATTGGGTACCGGACTTGAGTCTTGGGGGCATATATGCATGAGCTCTATGTTGTAGACATCCTGAACTTTTGAGGGGTCCGACTTAGATTTTTGGTGTCAATGTGTCTCAGGTGCCTGTTAGCATTGAGCCCTGGGATATGACAACATTGTTTCAACTGTGTTGTTAGTTGAAGTGACATAGGACACAGCAAATAGATTTCTCAAACTCTTCCACATTTCAGCACTGTCGCCTTACATAATTCCCGACAGTAGGTGACAACTTGTCAGAAAGGCTATATTCTCTTTGATATTATTAGGATACTGGAGACTTTCATGAAACACATAAAACATCTGTTTGGAAACACCTTCAGGCAAGTTTTCTTTAAATGATAAAAAAATAAATAATATAATTGGTTTACTAAATGTACAGGAATAATTTGTCTATAAGCATTCCAAATATTTATTGGCTCTCATTTGTATTCATGAGTGATCAGTGTAATTACTACATATGTTAGGATTGAATGTGTACATGTAATAAATAATATTAGTGTGTTTTGAAATGTAATTCCACGAGTAAACGTCTATTTCTTTTTTCCATAAGATAGTTCTAAAATATCCCACATGATATGATTATATAAATTTAGACTAAGTTATCAAATTAAGATTGCAAAGTAAAAAAGTTTTTAAAAAACAGTTAGCTGTGGTCATAGGAAGAATGTACGATATATCGAGCAAAGGAAAGAATAAGAAAACACTCTTCCTTGCCCGTTTCATATTTTAAACCAGCCCCCATGGATATTGCATTTCAATTTAATGCTTTTCACCGTCTGTCTTTGAAAATTTCCTCTTATAATGATGAAAAGCCATCTCCTTTTTAATTACCTCATTGCGTTTGGTATTCTTGCTCCTAAATCAAATTGTGTTGCCCTTTAGAATCCAATTATATTCAAGGGGAGAATGAATACTTGTTCTGTCATATGTGAGGTGGAAATGACCTAGGTCATACAAGCAAAACATGTGCCAGGTACATGACAATATAACATAAATGATCTCATACTAAAGATAACCTTGACTTACCGGTATAGTGATAAAAATGCAATTAGGGTTCAAGGAAAACAGAGTGTATCATGCAACTTATGAGTAGACATTTAGTTTGTACCCAATGCCATCCATACAAACATACCCTGAACGATATGACACGAGCAGTAAATCACATGGACTAATAATACACATACAGGACTACCAGCATGTGAATTGCTCCATTTCCACATAAAGTCTGTGGTGCTTCAAATCAAAACCATGAAGAGACAACAAATAGAAACAGAGGAGGATATTTGTAAATTATATGTATTAATGTCTAGGTAAACACCAACATAAAACAGCATACATATGGTATCTTAATATATTCACAGAATAAACTTATTCCTTTTTTCCCTGTTATAATTAAACCTCTAGAAAGACATACAGTACCTAACTGCTTTTATTTCAGAAAGTTAGTACATGTATTCAGCATATTATTTCATTATAATATATATATTCTCTATGTAATGAATGATTCAATTCAAAGCAATTTACATTACTAAAGGGGAAGTCAATCCTGATATATATTAAACTGTTTTTTTTATTCATAACAGAAAAATGAGAAACTGGCTGGCGAAAGTTTGAGGGAAAATATGATAAAAAATGTTTAAAAGTTTGAACAAAAGCCAATAGGCAATTCCATGGTGTACCTTTTGAGAAGCTCTCCGATTTGCCCTAACCAAAATTCCATAAAGTTCCATTTCAGTTCTCTCAAGAAAAAATATTTACCTATACATAAACCCTATACATATAAAGTTCCATTTCAGTTCTCTCAAGAAAAAATATTTACCTATACATAAACCCTATACATATAAAGTTCCATTCCAGTTCTCTCAAGAAAAAATATTTACCTATAGATAAACCCTATACATATAAAGTTCCATTTCAGTTCTCTCAAGAAATAATATTTACCTATACATAAACCCTATACATATTTGTTACACAGGTTCAAACCCAATTTGTTGCCAACTTGTGTTTGATTAAGAGATTGCACCTTCAAAAATTTCTCATCTTTCACTAACATTTTTAAAGATTATATTTAATCCAACTCGGTGTCAGGATCAACTTCCTCTTTAATATATTGAGCTCACACAGTAAGATCAAAAGAAAATTCTTTATACAAGATAGGCATTTCATTCACAAAATACAACACAATTCATTTAAAGGTACTATGTCCCATTTGCAGGCCCCCAAAATGGAAAGGTTAAATTCCAACGGCATTTGAAAGATAATTCATGTACCCTTTACAGCTCATTTTATGTATGTTATTACCAATGAAGAAAATATGCCAGTCAGTCACTCAATAGTGTCTGACAGTGAAGTCTAGCAAGTATCCTTGCATAATTTGAATATTAGGACACTGCTTATGTTTAAATTTCACAAATAGGACATACATGACATATTCATAATTCCTGCAAAGTTCTACAGAATTTGATTTTGGCTGCAAAAAGGACAATGTATCTTTAAGGGGAAAACTTACAAAATAATAACATGTGGTGTCACAGCACAGCACTTGACACAGTTATCACATTAGTTGGCAAACACAAAAAGTGATATTAGTCATAAAACAAAGACTTAAACAGAAAAAAGAAGAATTATAATTAGAGTTGAACAAGAGCAACTGAACAGGTAGGCTGAAACGGTAAAGAAATGAGATGTAGTAATAAAGTATGCATGTGCACAATGACATGCACAAACCAATGTAGTGTACAGTTCCAAAATCATTTAAAATGATATAAAAACACACTCAGAGTAAAATTACTATTTAAGCACATTCAACGGCCATGCATGTACCTGTATATAATGATGCTTGAGCCATTTAAACTGTACTGTGAGCCATCAAAATTCCTTTTAAACCACGTATTACAGCATTTTCACACTAGTGCACATGAGAGACAAAGTGGTAACCCCTTCCCTCTCCCTCATGGCAATCAAGCTATTAACTTCACATTGATCATAGACTTCTCCCAACTTTAAAAGCTTGCCATCCACACTCCCTTCACCCCTCTGTTAATTTCTGACAATCCTCTATATAAAAAAAAACCCTATTCATATAGTAGAGGACATTCCTATAAAAACATTGCTCTTTAAACTTTTGCAATTCTTATCTATTCAATACTTGTCTCATTGCTTATAATATAAAATATCTACTCACAATTGCATAGGGATTTTTTTTTCTTTTGCACAAATTTAGCAAACCTTTTTTCATCACATCAATTTGTATAAAATGGCAGATTCAGTAAACATGATATGAATGTGCATTCCTCTAGAAATACTAACAATGTTTTCTAGTTGCTAGCCTTTACCATCACTGGTAAACTTTTTGAAGGTTTGATATACATACTGATATTACTATTTCACAGAAACTTCAAAGCAATATATATATTTCAAACAATATTTCTGCTTGTAACTTTCCAGTCCATGTTTTTTTAAACACACACAAAGATTTCTGTATAAATCAACCACATAAGAAGCCATTTTAATATATGTAAAATAATGCATTCAATAAAGAATATTAAATAAACATTTTATAAAACATGATGAATAAACATGAATACTATTTCATTGAAATTCTTGTTGCCTGATAAAAGTTAGCTGCATGAATTTTAATCTAGTTGAATTTGATAAATGTAGCTGAATATGGTATACAGAAGTAAATGTTAAAACTAGCTTTAGATATATATAGTACTTTATACAAAGTAAACTTCAGAGCCCCATCTTATAAAGAGTTGTGATTGATCCAAATCAATCACAAGTCCTCTCTCTTATGTGCATAGTTACAATTGATGTCAATTATAACTCTTTAATATGATGGGGCTCAGAATTGTTCTTCTAATGTACACATATTTAAATGTAGACATTGTTAAAGGTATTACAAAGTTTTGGTAAGGGGTCATGAATTTGGTTCAAATGAACATATTAGAAGCCTCTGCGATCCTACAATATTCAATGATCGTTGTCGCAGTTGAAATCGAGTCCAAAGTAATGAACCGGGAGCACTGGTAAATTTTTGATTATTCAATTTTTTGAAAGCAGAAGTGTTTTAGGGGCTAGATTTTCCAGTGCTTATAATACATCCACAGGGCATCCAAATATATCAACATTTAAAAAAATCACTAACAATCCAATTTTCAAAATTTCCCGAAACTTTGCATTACCTTTAAAGCTAAAGACCAGTTATGGTCCTGCAATTGCATAGTGAAAGAAACGTTGTGAAATCGATCAGAAAAGGTTGATCATCTAGCATAGATGTACTGCAAGGTTCTGGAATCATCAAAATTATAAGAAATTTGGCCAAGTCTTCATAAAGTAAGAAGCACTGTACACAGAAAGATGTATATGGGACTACACACACTTGCACGACACGTGCATTTGTATCTCTCCACAGTATATAGATATACTAATTTACCAAATATATCAATTAGTAGGTGGTTTCCCGTCAAAATTGTTATCGTCATGTAATATTCAAAACATATTCTTTCACATGATTGGTAATAAGAGCTTCCATTTCATTTTTTGAAATTGGGGCGTTTCCAATACTGGTCTTTACCTTTAAAGAGAAGGTTGAGTTCTGGGAAGAGGTGAAAAAAAATTTGTGAGCGTAATCATTCTTATTATACCAGTGTGGAAGAACATCAGATAAGACATGTTCGCTGAAAAGTATGGCTCTTCAAAAGCCTTCATATTCTAAATATGTCATGTAACATCGTAAAACTCGGGGGGGGGGGGGGGGTAGGATTTTTACGCCACGTGTTCGTGTAGTCCCATATACATCTTTCTGTGTACAATGTTTGTCACTTTACCAAACTTGGCCAAATTTCTTATCATTTTGATGATTCCAGAACCTTGCAATACACACAAATTCTTATATGCTAGATGATCAACCTTTTCTGGTCGATTTCACACCGTTCCTTTTAAAATGCAATCGCATGACCAGAACTCAACTTCATCTTTAAGGAATTAGTTATTTATACATGTAGGTAGATGGTTATTGCTATGGTACATGATAAATTTGACCCGACCCCAATCTATTTTTTGATAAATATCTCTTTTTCCACGATGGATATTTCTAACATGTTATACTTCTATGACAACGAAATACACACACCTTTGTTGTTATTAATATACAAATAGACAATAATAATCAACAAAAATAGACACATCTCCTTGTGAAAAAATGCTTACTTATAACTTTCATTTTTCCTATGTTGTAGTACCAATCATCTCTTTGGTTCCATGTTTTAAATAGAATGGCAATAAAACCTGAGGTATCTCAATTCTATGGGGCGCTATGTAGCACATGTCTGATTCTTTAAAAAAAAAAAAATCACTCTAAATATTTGATTTTGTCACAAAAGCAATCTCACATTGTCACAAAGCAATGCCCTTCAGGCTCTCATCAGACTGTATGGATACTCTTTAAGTTTCAACACAAGAGAGACAAGTAAATCAAATTGAAATCCCAATGTTCTGCTTGTTCTTCTGCTCCTCTTTCAGCAGCTCAGCTAGTCTTTGTATACCCTAGGAGGAAGGGGGTAAAAAAGACAAAGAAATATATGATAAAGGAAAGTAGAACGATCAATTATGGTAGATAAAATAAATAAAAAATTGTTATAGCCCAGAAATATCCCTAAAGGTACTCTTGAGTGCAGAATTAGTTTAATTTAGCTTTATGTTTCCTCCCTATCAACAAAGGCCGAACTTAACCACAGAGTAACATATCACATACTGAGCTTCCAAAAAGCTTTGGATTGTTACCTGGCTCTAACCTAACTGCCCTGATAAGGTGCTGAAGCATTCAGAGGATTCTTCTTAATACCAGTACCGATTCACCTCTCCTGGATCAAGGGTGGCAAAAACGGATTAATGGCTTGCCAAAGGAGCTTATTAGTGCTGTGGCTGGGATTCAGCCCTGTACCTTAACATCTATAGTCCTGGATGGTGTTTCACAAAGCCTCTTTTCAATGACAAATGACAAAAATCAGTGACAAATCTAATCATAACCGATCAGAAGCAAAGATTTCAGTAGCTTATAAAAAAAGCTGTCATTTGTCACTGATGACAAGTTTTGTGAAACACATCTAAGAGAGGGACTACAATGGCATGGGAGCAAATGGTTCCTATTAAATACCTCTTCCAAATTTTCGTCGGAGCAGACAGAGTAACAGGCTCTGATGAATGGTGACGGTTTGGTCTTGTCCGGGTAGAACGCTATACCAGGTACAAACAGGACTTCTTTCTCCATGGCCTTCTTGGTGATGAGTTCATAGGAATCCTCAACACCAGTCAGTTCAATCCATATAAACATACCACCATTAGGAACATTCCACTTGGCAAGACCTATAAGCAATCATTACAAATCATTTTTGAACCCATTCTTGAGAAATTTTAAAGATGAAGTTGAGTTCTGGTCATGCGATTGCATTGTGAAAGAAATGGTGTGGAATCGATCAAAAAAGGTTGATCATCTAGAATATAAGTATTTGTAAGTATTGCAAGGTTCTGGAATCTGGCCAAGTCTTGGTAAAGTTACAAGCACTGTACAAAGAAAGATGTATATGGGACTACACAAGCATGTGGCGTAAAAATCTGTCCCGATTTTTACGATGTTACATGCCATATTTAGAATATGTAGGCATTTGAAGAGCCATGCTTTTCAGGGAACATGTTTTATCTGATGTTCTTCCACACTTGCATAATAACAATGATAACACTCACAAATTATTTTTCACCTCTTCCCAGAACTTAACCTTCTCTTTAAATGGTCTGAATGAATCAGGTTCACCTGCAACAATTTAATGTCACTAAAATGAAACTTAAAATGTACATAATGCAGCAGCAAAAGAGTGTCAATTTTTATTAAAATGAATATTGGCTATGCATTTGAGTGCATCTTACCAACTTATATCAAATTAATATGCATGTTTAGGAAATATTCTATTCAACAGATGACATTAAGTACCAGTATTGCAACAGACATGAATTCATATAAAATGTAATGCTTCCTGGGAGAAATTTCAATAGTTAAAACATATTTGTGGCTTACTTACAAATCCCGCTGGTTCCAATATTTTGTTTTCTGACTTGTTTTTCAATTACAGATCGATCAATCGATCTAATTTACTGGGTGTAAGCCACAAATATGTTTAAACTATTGGGATGAATTCGCAACATACAGAGATCTTTCCATTACAAGTTGAATATTTCACACTGATTAAAAATGATCGAAGCATTAAATACAACATGGGTTCTCTTGTTTTCCTTGGCCTTTCAAAATCACTGACTTTGTCATTTGAGATGCTCTATTGTGATGTCATACTTGACAGACCTGTTAAGTGTTTGTCCATAGCAGCAAGTAGGACATCTCTTTTCTGTTGGTAGAAGGCAGCTACCTTCTCCGCATGGTTCAAGAGTCCATCAATACCCCAGTGGTTGAGCAATTTGTACAAGGTGAGCTAGTGTACCGACAGAAGAGAGAGAATGCATCTTCAGAATAATAGAGTTTGATAAAACAGTTTCAATAAACCAATCACCAAAAAGGTTTTGAGCGATTCGTTTCCTTGAACATTTCATTTTTGCTGTGCATGTTTGGGATTTCATGCACAGTATCAACAAGACAATCGTTGATAAGAACATATGACTGAGGCACTGAGCGTTTTCATAATTTATCCTTAAGTGGACAGTACAATGCCATCTGAATCTCATAGCACTCAACAATAAGAATAACTTGAATTTTAATATACTATTAGTATTTCAAATTATCAAAAGTACAACTGATTGCTTTTCCAATGTTTCTGATATCAATACCTCCCCAAATTTCCCAAAGTTACTTGAACATCTATGATCTTGCAGTTAATAACCTCCTGACAATTGCATGAATGCCACTCGTACTGTGTACAATAAACTGTAATGATCCATGCTCATAAGAATGTACTTTATTCTTGACGCTATCTTTCAGCCATCACATGTATCTAGTTTCAAAATCTTCATGAAGGCAAAAATAAAATGTATATTTAAAGCAGCACTGATTGATCTATATAATAAATGATAAATATTTAGTACATTCATAATAAACCATCATGAGTAAAAAATGATAATAATCTAAGAACACTCTTGTTTCTGCCTTACTTGAGAGAGTACACTTGTGTGAAGGACAGAAGCCTGCATATGCATGATGATGCGTGTTACCACTGCCTGGGGACCGGTACATACACCAACACGAAGGCTGTCGTACCAAAAGGAAAAAAACTTTCATTATTAAACATCAACATCCTACGACAGATTAAATTTATCATCACAAGATACTGTTTATTAGACAATATTAATAAAAAGAACAATTTTGCTTACTACTTTAAACATAAGGATGCTATGGATGCAAATATTTGATTCTTACTGTCTCTTCTTCAATATTGCGCAGGTGCATTTATGGGTACCACCAATTTATTCTTAGTTTCATGCAATAAATACATTTGTTTTAAAATTTAAAGAAAAAGATATTTGAAATCATCAGAGTTGTTTGGGACGAAGTAGTTCCAAAAGTATTGGACTCTCTTTATGGGGACTGTTGAAACTAGAAAGCAAAATTTGACCTTTGAGTACTCTTTGTTTTCTTCATATGACAGTATGTGATGCACTAGCAGAAAGAAAAATGTGCTAAAATTGCACATAAATATCAATTTTCCTGTAAAATAATTCACAGTGATTGTATTTCTCGATTATCTGGCTGTCTACAATACTTTTTCATGATTTAGCATAAAAAATAATCCTCATATACAATTCTTTCAGCTTACCCTGCAGATATTATTTTGGCAAAAGAATCAAACCTGAGGACCCTTCCATCCTCATCCATGGAAAGAAAACTTGGACTCTTCTCCTGTATGAGACGAGAATAAGATAATACTATGAGAACTGCAGATTAGAAATCAAAATGATATTCAATATCATACCATGTAACTTTTTCAGTTACAATTTTCAATTAAAATTGTCTAATTAAAGGGGACCTAAAAACAAAAAACACTTTGCTTTGTTAGTTTTTTCAATTGATTCACTGATATATAACATTGCTTCAAACATTACTTCTGGAAAGATGCATGAATATCGCAAACTATATCGCACTCCAAATGAAGGTAAAATCTCTAGCGTCAAGTTTAGTGAAAAAATGCACCAATACTTTCACTCATTATCACAATCAACACTATCCTTGGACTAATTATTATTCCTCCTCCTCCTCCTCCCTCCTCCTCCTCCTCCTCCTCCTCCTCCTCCTCCTCCTCCTCCTCCTCCTCCTCCTCCTCCTCCTCCTCCTCCTCCTCCTCCTCCTCCTCCTCCTCCTCCTCCTCCTCCTCCTCCTCCTCCTCCTCCTCCTCCTCCTCCTCCTCCTCCTCCTCCTCCTCCTCCTCCTCCTCCTCCTCCTCCTCCTCCTCCTCCTCCTCCTCCTCCTCCTCCTCCTCCCTCCTCCTCCTCCTCCTCCCCCCTATCCCATCATCATCGTCATCATCCCCTGCTCCCCAAACTCCCTGGTGTAAAGTAGTGACCAATGGGTTAACAATAAGCCGTCTCACCTTTCCAAATTGCAAGAAGTAGTAGGCATCATCTTCCATAATCAGCAGATCATATTTTCTGGCTAGTTCATAGATTCTCTTTCTCCGATCAAGAGTAACACAGCTACCTGTTGGATTATCCCCATTAGGAACAACATACAGCACCCTCGGTTTATCTGATCTAAGTGACAATAGTGAAGATATAAAAGATTTGTATTCAACCAGAATCATGATGTGCACATCATTACACATATAAAATAACTGAAGGCATTGGTAATAATCATCCACACAAGGAACCTTTGGATTGAGTATGACAATTTTTAAAATAAAATCGGCTTTGGTCTGGGTTATGATGTGCACATTACTATGAATATAATATACATCACTAAGGGTGTTAGTAAGTTTAGTAAAAACTATCTACAGAACAGTCTAGACCTGAGGCAATTGTCAAGGGTTTTTGGACTGTTTGGAAGGTATCAAGGATGGCAGATTTTACTACTTCCTAAATATATGACAAGTATGTTTTGTTTAATATTATGGTGACAATTCATTCATTAGTCATTTGCCAAATCTTATAGAGCTATCTCCCAACTGGTTGGTCATTAGAAAATGCTACTGTCTAGTCATTTAGTATACAAATAATACACAGCAGTGAGGGCATTAGGAAGAATTACCCACACAAGGTACCGTTGGAACAGTCCAACACGCAATAGCCGAGGGTGTTTCAACTGTTTTGCAGGTACCGAGTGTGGGTAATTTTACTAATGCCCGACCAAAATGATGTGTATTATTTGTTTTATACGATTTATGTTTTATTTTTTTTATAAAATGATATCTTATAACATGATCTTACTAATGACCGGTCATTACCATTTGATAATGACCGGTCATTATCAAAATTATGTGTTAGGCAAAATAAATGGCTGGTCACATGTACGCTCTCAACCAATCATTTGATAAGGATCCACGTCATCATCTTATGTTTCCCAATAATCAGTCATGTGTTAGGAAAAATAAATAGCTGGCTGGTCACAGGTCCCTTTTTAACCAATTACTTGATAAAGATCTACGTTATCATTTCATACTGAAATTTCTCTTATGAATAAACTATAACCTTTAACAAAATAACCTTGAAATCATAACCCAATTTCTTTCTTTGAAGTGCCATTTCATCATTAAAAATACGATGCTCTGAAATATGATAATCTCACACTCATATCACTTATCGTGAAAATACTTTCCTCATTTTCTTACCACAGCCTGTTTTCTTTAGATCTTCCGTTTCTCTTAGAGAGCTTGATGATACATTTAACATAGTAACCTCAAAATGTAATTACATGTACTTCATTATGAGGAAATAAAGTCTATTGTGATTGATAACAATTACAGACTTAGACTGGGCTCTCAAACTAACCCTCAGTCCCCACTCTAAGTTCTATTGTTCAGGTAAAATTTAACAAAAGCAAATTAAACCAAGGTCTCATTTGTGTTTATACTAAATGCAAATGGGTTGGACCTGGTATGAATTAAACCTGCCCAGAGGGCTTTTGGGGAGAGGGAGGGGGTGCTACTCTCAAACCCCCTTCCCTTGGAGGAGTCAGTAGCCCTTCAGAACAATTTCATATCCCCCTGCCTGAGGAATGCTTCCTATCAAGTTAAGTCAAAATATATACATGAATTGTAACGAAGAAAATCAAAAATATCTAATTATTATTATATGGGCATTTGGGGGATGCTGCCCCCAACCCCGGTGGGGTCAGCATATATCCCATTTAAACAACTTAAGATCTCCCTTTTCTCTCTCTTCCCCATTCTTTGCCCCCCCCCCACCCCTTCCTCTCTCACTCTCTCTCTCTCTTCCCCCTTTTTTCCCTTTCTTTTTCTCTCTATCCCTCTCTCTAACTGTTTGTCTCTCTCTCTCTTTCTCTCATTCTCTGTCTCTCTCTCTTTCTCCCTCTCTCTCTCTCTCTCTCTCTCTCTTACCCTTCTTTCTTGGCATCCTCTGGATCCCATCTGGAGAGGATCTGTTCTAGGTGGTCTGGATTCAAACCATCACCATCTACGTTAACAGGGATAATGTCTGCCCCAAGTGGCTCCATCTGTATTCAAACAGAACACATGTGAATAAATTGATAGCTTTCTTCTGCTTTATATTAGAGGTTCATTGATTTTAAATATTCATTTAATTTGTATCATTGCATATTGAAGAGAAGGTAAGAACGAACAAAGTAATCAAAATTCCTTGCTAGGAAACAATTAAAGTAACCATTATTATCAATTTTAAAATGATTAAATGCCGCCCATCCTGTGCACTTGAAGAGCTCTCTGAACACTGGCAAGATACATGTATGTGACATCCCTCAAGGGATAGTGAGCACTAAAAATAAAAACATTTTTTTTATTTAACTTAACATGCCCTTTCTTCCGCTTCGATGTAGAAGCTTTGGTTTATAAAAAAACCTCTCACCAATCATGGTGACCACAATTTGTTCTTTTTTTTGCTCAATGGGGGGGGGGGGGTTGAGTTGAATAAAAAAAAATTTAAAAAAAACGATTTGCTCACTAGCGCCCCCCCCCCCCCCCCCCATTGAGCAATAGTATTTTTTTAATATTTACTGTATGATGATGTTACTGTTTTTATTATGTCATTGAATCAATCCTAATATTTAAATGTAAATATAACCAATTTTAGCCTTTTATTTGATGGAAATTACTTTTAATACTCGTCTTCTCCACTGGCTTCCGACTACCATCTCTGCCGTCAAGTCTGGTGAGCAAGTTCGTAATTCGAGATGGTACTGTACATTATGTCGGTGGAACCAACTCACGATCAAACATAGTCGACATGGGTTGTAAACATATTTTTTCAATTCAGAAATTACAATAACTTGAAAACTGGCCCATCGATACCATCAATATCATCGTCACTGGATTCAGACGATAGATACTGCAGATCTAAGTTACTGTCTGGCCTTATCACTCATTTTATGGATAATAAATCATTAAAATTAATTAAAATATGGCTGCCTTGATCGTCTAGTGTGTGTAATAGATACAAGATTGTTGGAATCCGGAAGTGGCATTGCTTTAATTGCCTACATAATTATCATCCAAGTTGCTCGATTTGTATGATTTCGGTTTTGTTTATCGTGGGATATCAAGATCCAATTTTAATTGTCTGATTGTGGTCACACATGTATTTTTAGGGAAAAGATAATGATACGTTTCACTTTCTTTACATCATGATGAGCTTTCATTTGACATGCAATGTCTCTTTTAATCAATGTCTACTTTAACACACACCTGCATTTCTACATTCCATACACAATCTGGACGCAATAGCGCACACAGATGCGCATGCATGTAAAGCAGGCCTTCCCAACTAGTTTATTAGAAGTGCCAAAACGAAAAGAATTTGTAATTGAAGCGCCACCTTATATAGTTGACTGTGCTGCGAGGGAGCGTAGCGACCGAGCCGAAAATGGGTGGGGTCAGGGGGCGAAGCCCTAACGGGGGTTGCAGGGGGTGGGGCCCCCTGAAGCTGGTGGATCTAGGGCTTTTTAAAGGCCCAATGAGGCATTTTCAACACCATTTCATTCCACAATATATAATCAATCATAATTTCTTATTGAAAAAAAAAATAAGTACAATTCCTGGGTACAATTACACCGGAGGTATATTTATATGCATTTTTTGTGTGCAATAAACACGGGAAATGTCAAAATAAAGTGAAAATCAAACAAACAAAAACAAGTTGTTTCCAAAGATTGGCAATGTTAAAATTGGTATCCCATCGTAAGCTAATTGTTGTTCAGACCTTAGGTTTAGATTTGTATAAAATGGTAAAATTTTGGGCTCAAATTCGACTGCAACTTCTTGATTTAGCTGAGTATTTAATTCTAAAATAAATATTTTCTTTCTTTCTGTTTTTTGTTTTGTTGTTGCAACAGTCGCGCGCCACTCCGACTGACCGCAAGCGCCACAAGTGGCGCGCGCGCCGCCAGTTGAGAAGGCCTGATGTAAAGTATTCAAATGTGAAAAATAGACTGAAAAATACTCTAAAATTGATTAGGAGGTGATTTTTAGTACATTTTTTAATCTTAAGGCGCGCCTCCACCCACGTGATGATGTGTGCACAGACACCTGGATATTGATCCTTATTAATAATTAATACTTCAGGATAATATATGCTCAACATCAATACATGTATGTGGGTTGAACAGTACTTTAATAAAGAGACAAGATGTCTTCTCATCACTTCCTTGTCCAGGGTATGAGCTCAGTTCATATCTGCAACTACTATAATATTGCTCAAATACATCAGTAGGTGACTTTCCTTGTCCGTTGTTCATATTTATAGCAAGGCAATAATGGAATGCTGAAATATTACAGTATAACCCAGTTCATATGCAAATTGCCATATTCACTTTACTCAGAGAGTTTTGAATGTACGGTGATAAAACAAAATTAAATGTGCAATGATGGGAAATGGCAATGATAGTTAATGTTTAAAAAGAGAGAAAATGATAAGATGATTGAAAACTGAAAGGCAAAGACTCTGTCTGAAGAAATAGGTCCATTCAAATAATGATAAAACTGACTTGTATTTACTTATAATGAGAACAATGCTGCAGCTGATACCACACCATAGGGGCGTTTCACAAAACTTGTCATCAGTGACAAATGACAAGTTTTGTTATAAGCTACTGAAATCCTTGCTTCTGATTGGTTGACAGCAGATTTGTCACTGATTTATGTCATTTGTAATTGAAAAAAAGCTTTGTGAAACGCCCCCCAGTTCAAATTACATAAAGTGAAAGTTCAATGATGCTCAAAGAACAATTATCTTCCCTGTTATATATATAAAACCTCTTCTCTATCATAAGTAATACCCGCATTGTACTTCAATCTCAAGTTTGAATACCACAAGCCTCAATAACCTAGAAAACCATCAAAGCCTCAATAACCTACAAAACCATCAAAGTCACTTGACTTGACAAGATGAAGCTTGCCCTGAGTGGCGTTAACTTGAGGAATAAAATGAAATATGAGAACAATTTCCTTGTGTATAACACTGAACAAATATTATGGAACAAAACACCATGAATTGATTAGTTGTTGTTCTGCAGAATATTTTCCTTCTCAAAGACAATTTATTGTTTCAATTTATCATAAAAACATTTTACACTTTTTAAATAAACACTTTTTAAATAAAGAATGTATGTATACATTGTACATAGCCTAGGACCAAGGCTTTCAGATAAAATTCTAAGTTCCTCAAGCAGGGTAAAGGAACCAGTCTACTCAACAAATAAAATTTGGGACAAAATAGATAGAGGTGTAGATTCATTATTTATGCACACAGAGGCCAGGTTTTTCAGTACTCTCTCTCAGCGGGAGGGGTTGGATTACACCTCCCCCGCCCCAGCCCAAGCCATGGAGTGACCTAAAATACTGAAACTTGGCACATACATAGGACATCTTCTAATTAACAAGCTAATGAAGTTTTATATCTTTACCTCGCACAGTTTTGGAATTATAGCTAAACCTAACCCTATTAATTATTAACACGATTGTAAATTCATGATTTTGTAATGTGTATTAAATGTCCGTTTTCGACTAGCACAGCGTCATTTTTCAAAGAGCAACACCTGCCGGTCAAAATTATAGAAAACTTGCAGGAAAAAAACAAAAATATACTCAAAAAACATAAGATTTTACACTTACCATCAAGCCTTTTATTAAGTCAAAGCAGACCGGGAGCCAAATATCTGAAAAAGCGGCTCCCGGTCCTTATTTTTTTTTGGGAACCGGGAGCCGTTTTCCAGGACCAGGAGCCGTTTCCAAAATTGATGAAAATATGTACCGTATTCTTTTAAATTATTTGTTAAACGTTACCTTTTATTTATACATACGGTAGTTGAATTTCTAGTTTAAATTTTGAGCACTCTAATATTAAATCACTCATACCTTAGATAAATCTGTCATTTGTAGTTGTTGTAGTTCATGTTTAATACTATTTTCATGCCGTTAAATGTCAAAAATTTAAAAATGTTGGGAAGGGGGGAATTAAATTATTTCTATACAAAAATATTTAAGAAAAACCAGATCTATAATGACAATGCAGAGCTTCCAACCTGTCGCTTTCAAAAAAACATATTATTCAGCTTGAAAAAACATATTTTAGGTGAAAAAAAAGATTATGCCTGTTTTACGTTTTTGTTATTTTCCCTATAAAATGCTATTGCATTCATGTTTCTTTGGATAAAAACGCATTCAATCATTGAGAACGGCCGACCTGTCACTTAAAAAAAAAAAAAAAAAAAAAAAAAAAAAAAAAAAAAAAAAATAATAATAATAACAATAATTCGAAAATTTAAAAAAAAGATTTGTTAAATATATTTACCTATTTTATCAGAAAAGTCCATTATTTTATTATTTTAGTCAATGAGTACGAGGGCCGCTGAATCAAGGCAAGTCTGGAGTTGCAATCAACTTTGTACATAAAGTCAATGCATCAGCAGATCCGGTGTTTTGATTTTCATTTGCCTTTTTGAAGATACCATTACATTCGAGGGGCATGCGATAGGCAAAAAAACTGGTAATAAAATCGCTGATTTCTTGATTTTTAGCGCTATTTTGATGAAACTGTTTCTTAAAACTGGGCTTAATCCCCGTGAGCTTTGGAAATATGGCTCCGATTCCGCATTTTTGACAGCAAAATTTGGCTTTTGGGATGGATTTTTGGAAGTTACATCGAGACTTTCTTGTACTGACACTGTGTGTGTACTGCAGTACAGCACTGATGTCATTTGTGTGTGTATGCATGGCCTGGGCTGGGGAAATGCGCTCGTCTTTGAGTGGTGTACATCCCCTGTATTGTGTGCTCCGTTCTCCGCTAGGAGTAGGAAATAGCGGCCGCTCGTATTCGTGCTGCAATTGTTTCTGGGCGATTTTAATTAGGATTCTCATTATAATGATTTGTTAGGGTTCATTCAGTCCACGTTTAACTTGTATCAAGTAAGTTTTTGTCACATTTGTGAACATTTAGTGCTAGACATGTGGAAGTTTATGAAACAGAAAATGTTAATTCTCCCAGACCGGGCGCCAGAAATAAAAAATGACCGGCGCCCGGTACTCATTTTCCCCGTCTTACCGGCCGCCAAAAGTCAGGGACCGTAGGGTAAAAATCGCCCGGCGCCCGGTTAATAAAAGGCTTGCTTACCATTGCAATAGCACCAGAATACAATGGTACGCCAGCTAGAACCTTATCACCTCTTGATATAAGAGCTTCACATGCCTGAAAGAAAAAATAACAAGGAAAATACATCAATGATTTGGGCCTACTGAATACTGATTATCCTATAAAACTACATTTCTCTTGTAAATAAACATCTAGTCAATGATGATATGCATTAATTGCATTTGCAAGCTTGATATAATGTTTACATGTTAATTTAAAGTAGAAATGAACTAAACAAAAATGTCTTCTTACATATCCATGTATCCATCATCTATGTATAAATCAGTCTGCAAGGCTCTCGCACAGCTAGCAGTCTTTATGTTTGACCAGTTCAGGGGGTACTTAATCAATTTGTTTTACGAGCCAGAAGTATATGAAATATATAGAGACTACCAAGTATCGAATTGACCATGGGTGTATTCAGGGAGGCCAAAACAGTTTCCAAACAGTTACCATTAGGAAGGGGGGGGCATTGGCAGATGGGAACATTGCACTAAAGGAAAGAACTCCGAAAGACCAATCATATAAGGATGAATGGGACACAGGACCAAAGGTACATAGGCTGGGCCAATGGAATGAAGGACCAATACCGGGATGATAGTGCACACTAAAATAATTTTTTTCTTCTTTTTCTCAGCCAATCATCTTGAGTAAAAAAAATTGAAAATTTAAAAAATTGGGAAAATGGCCAACCCCCCCCCCCCCCCCACACTTTCCCATTGCATGCAATTTTAAGCCGGAATACCAGGAAAAAATTGTGGGAAAATTTGAAAAACAGGAAAAATCTGGAAAAACATCAGTAAAAAAACCCAAATCGTTAGAACCATATAATATTGTGTTGGTTTGATAGTACATACCATACATAGCCCATGTTGACTCCCTGCTGTAATAACCATTTCAAGTTTACTCCCATCTGTTCTACTCTGCGTGGGAGGGTTGTGCATTGAGACCTGTAGGGCCATCAGCCAGTCACGTAAATCACTGAACCTGCATGGTTTTAATTGACATAAGAATATCAGTTAACTTGGGATTAGTACTTTGTTTCATATCTTTAATATCATCTGCATGAAGATTAATGAAAACAAATGATAGCAATAGAGATGTGAATATCACTTAAATACTTCTACTACTACGACTACTACTACTACTAATAATAATAATTATAATAATAATGATGATATCAACAGCAACAATAATAATTTCACTCCTGATGACGGATAGTCAACCTGTTCGAAACGTTGAGCCACTCCCGCCACTCATCCTCTCCAAGCGCTATAGTTCTCCTTAGAACTATAAGCTAAGAAAGATAACCACAGTCTTTTTCAAGACTACACAAACAGTCCTTTTCAGGACTACACACCCCCAAGAAAGATTACCGAGAGTCCTTTTCAGGACTCCTCAATCCTCTCTCCCTCTCTCACATGGTGCACCCGCAAGCCTACTGTATAAATAATAATTTCCTTAATGATCCAAATGCTGGATTCTATTACTATCCTGTTGTAAGCCAGTAATGATAGTAGAGCAATCATACAGTAACAAATGACTTATGACAAGGTATTATGGTACAAATGACAAGGTAAATATATTAAAATGACAAGGTAAATATAGACAAATATATACAAATCACAAGGTAAATGCAAAGGAAAATAACAACAATAATACTAAGCCAACTACTGAGATACTAGAAAACATCACAGGAAATCATTTCTGATTAAATCATGAAAAGATTTGAACAATACCCTGATGTGACACCATACTGTTGTGCTTTCTTCATCTCCTCTGGTGTCATTATGAGTTCAGTTCCATTTCTGAAACATATAAAAGAAAATCCACCATTAGGCAGTTAAACAATGAGCTAACATTTATTTCTGTAATGTTATTTTTGTAACCTTTCCATGCCATCCCATTCACTCAAACACTTAAAATAATTCACTTATTTTGTTTATAATACGTAAGAAAGCTTCTGTATAGCAATATTCTGAAGGATTTCTATGTCAAAGCATATAATATATAATATGTATGTAAACTTGTTTTTTATTTTTTGTCAGTTTGTAAACTGTGAGCAAAACAAATTTCCAATATTGGACAACAAATTTCCAATATTGGACAATAAATTGAAAATCAAATGAAATGAAATTAATTATTGGTACTCTCTTCCTACTGTAAGCATTATTTCTTTATTTTTACCTTCCAATCCAGTTTGTACAATTTCACGGAGTGTAAAAAAAAATATTTAAAAAAATAAAAATTGTCAATATCAACCTACCAGAGAATAGTAAGAGTTCATGAGTTACAAAGAAAGGTTGGTTTTCAGTACATTACTTCAATAGATTTTGAATAGCTTTTTCTTTCATTTTTAACCAAAGATTCATGAAGTCATTTTCATTGTATTGAACATCAGCAATGGCAGGCTACATCAAATATAAAATGTAAAGTAGCCTGCATACAAGAACAAAACAACCCACACAACATCCCTTATCCTTATATCATTGAAACAAATTTACTCCACATCTGTTTTAAAAGTACAAATTATTTCATTTTCATTAAAACCTGTTTACATACAGTTCTCAAACTTTCTTGCATCATCATCATCAGCATCATCATTTTTTTTTATTACAATTTTACAAGGATGTCAGCCAGATGTGTGATATTTCAGGCCTTCCGAAAAGTATCAATAACAGGGTTGGAAAAAAATTCAATTCAAATCACTATTATTATATTTAAATCAATATTTTTTTAGAAATCAAGGACAAGATAGTTTAAAGGGATCGTTTAACAATGTTAAATCTGAGATACACGGCCCTACATGTTATCAGTGTCTGTGATATGATGTAATATTGAAGCCCTAAAAAAATGCACTTCAAAATGATCAAGAAGTGCCTCAAAAAGTAAAAATCTTTGAGTGACTGGTTTTACCATTCTCGTTTTCCCCAATAGACTGTAGTGTTATGAAAATCGTCAGGGGAACGGTTTTCAAAATTTGTAATTCCAATCATAAATATCTTGATAATCAGACAGGCGATCGGCTTGTAAAAGTCACGGGGTTCCTGACTGACCTAAAGGTTTATAATTATCATTGCATCATGAGCTAAATCCAGAATATTTTTTCAGAATCTGAGACAAAGTTACCGGATCCCTTTAATGGATAAAATTGAATATGAGCTTTGAATGTGTTTGCATCACTGACAGTGATGGGCCTAGTTTAAGCTGGTTAAATACAAAAATCTTGAATTTACAACAAAATAAATGGTTTAGTAGCACAAAACTGCGCTAAAGTAAGGACTATTTCAAACAAACTAAAAATTCTTTAACACAAGCTTTTGGAAGTGATTGAAATCACTGAATTTTTTTAAAATTGGGGTGCTTTATATCACTATTTGAATTTCCATTTAAATCATGCTAAACCTGAATTCAATATTAACACTAAGTTTGGTGATTGAGATCAAATCATTCAGATCAAATCAAATCAAATCCAAAACCACATCCAATCAAAATCAAATTATATCCAATCCAATCACATCACATCACATTAACTCAAATTATGAAAATGAAAACTAACTTGAGTGTAATGCTTGACTTCTCAAAGGGAAACATGTCCACGTTAGGTGTACCTGCTGCAAGCGAGATCAGTGTGGGCGGCCCTGTCATCAGCAATTCAGCTACAAGGAAACAAAAATGTATAATAATAGGTATCATTAATGAGATGTTTGTCATCAATACCTTCTGTACTTTAACTGAAATCTAGTTCATTCTTGCTTTTATACATGTACCTTTGAGGAAATCAGAGAGAATTACTATACATTTCATACCAATCTGCCATAACGTTTGATATTTTTCATGAACATACAAATTATATGGGGCCTTTTTTAACACAAGCTTTATCAATAATAAAAGTCTACTGGTCCATACACTGATGCACCTGTAGGTGAAAATATGTAGAAACTAATGATTTCTGTTGTTTTAAATTCTAGATTTCCCCCACCTCTATTTTATATCAAGTACAAAATATTTTTAAAACAAATTTTGTTAAAGGCTAGCTGAAAAAAAGTGGGCGGGGCAAAAAAAACTACAAACAAAAAATGAGTATTACTACTGAAATAGTTCCGTGAACCACTTGAGTTACATGTACTTGTAGTATAGCAAACAAACAAAATATCCAGGAATATATGAAAAATGGCAGACTTTAATACTCCCACTTCTTCTTAATGGCTGATAGAACACATCAATTAGTATAGCAATTAGCAAACAATTAAACATATATTCAGAAATATATACAAATGCAGGCGCGTACACAGGGGGGGGGGGGGGTTTAGGGGGTTAAACCCCCCCCCTTTGGTAAATTTTTGTGTGTAAACCCCCCCTAAATTTCCCTAAAACCCCCCCCCCTTTTGGTCGTTTTTTTTTTAATTAAAAAAAAAAAAAAAAAAAAAAAAAATTATTCCCATGGCCGACCTCAAAAAGATGACCTTACCCCCCCCCCCCCCAACGGAGCAAAATGGCAAATTTTCAAATTCCGATACCAAAAAAAAAAAAAAAAAAAGTGTCCTCTTACCCCCCCCCCCACTGAGCGACTTTTCGGTTGGCTGAGTCGTTGCGATTTTTTTTTTGGACTGCCAAAAAAAAAATAAAAAGTGTCCGCTTACCCCCCCCCCCCCCCACTGAGCGACTTTTCGGCCTGCGCGCGATTTTCAAATTTTCGGGAGCAAAATATTTTGGGCCAGATTTTAAACCCCCCCCCCCCCTTTGAAAAAATCCTGCGTACGCCCCTGTACAAATGGCACACTTTAATACTCCCACTTCTTCTTAATGGCTGATAGAAAACATCAATTAATCAATTATACTTTCTTCCTCATCTAAAGACATCTTCCAAAATCAGGTTGCAGTACTGTGAGCTTTATATCCACAAATAAGAGAGACAAAATCATACATTTCAAAAGTCTATATAGGAAGCTTACTGTACAATTATGGGCAACAACAATGTACATCCATGATCAGTTTTAATTTTTTTCTGATTCACATATATATCCAAAAAAAAATCTGTCAACACCACATTCAAATGAAAGTGATTTCAACCAAGGTGTTGGTTATAACTGACTATAAAAAGACATTTTATTTCACACTTCCATGAATGCTTCTGTTTTTTACAGGGGTAATTCTATCCTGATATTAAGTTGGTTTTCATAGAAGCTGAAAATGAGAGAGAACCAGGTTAGAGAAAGTTTGAGCAAAAATGGATCAAAAATAAGAAAGTTACTAGCAGGACCCGCGGAAATCCGCGGGATTCTAGAGGGGGGCGGGGGTGTAAATAGATATATAGAGACTGTCTAAATTAAAACCACCAAGAACTTTATTTGCCATTCAGGCCATTAAAAAAATATACATGTTTAGCGTCCCCGCCCGCTTTTTTAAAAATATTTTATTTTTTTTTTTTTTTATTTTTGAAAGAAAAAAAAACAGCGTTCCCGCCTGCTTCCTTTTTGGGGGCCGCCTCCTATTTTTTTTAAAATTTATTTTTTTTTTTTTTTTTATTTATTTATTTTTTTTGAAAGAAAAAAAACATAAAAAGCACTGCTAAAATTGTCGGCCGCCATCTTGAAAAATAGGCTGAATGTCAGGGAAAATGTACGGAGCGGCCATTTTGAAAGAAAAAAAAAAGAAAAAAGGGCCTCCTTCCCATTTTTCGAAAAAACAGGACGCTAAACATGTTTTTTTTTTAATTTGGCCTTATATAAAAAAACAAAAACGATCCAACTATACCGGTAGTTATTCTTTAAGCCACTGGAACTGCGTAGAGTTCCGTAGTGTTGCGTACCGACTACGCAGAAATTAGGCTGCGTATTAATGGGAAAATAGTCCCTGCGTAGGTTATGCGTAGGCTGGCATACAGGTTTGCTTATGGTTGCTTACTGTGTGGAAAGCTTTTACTGCTTTGTCAATCTGGTGTAGGGTAGCGTACTGTTGCGTAGTCATGTAGCGTAGTGTTGCGTAAAAAGGCGTACTTTCTGCGTCAAGTTTCTACGCCGAAAGTACGCGAAAAAAATTAAACATGTTGAATTGTTTTCGTTCATCTTGCGTACCCCTTTCCGTCCCCCAGCATATAGTAACGTAGGCCAGCGTAGTTGGTACGCAACACTACGCAACTCTACGTATTGACCCCACGCCAAATAAAGTATTAAAAATATGCTCATCTGACCCTAATTAAACGCCTAAACCCCCCGAGCTTTCGAGGGTTTATGGCCCCTTGAAACCCGTGGACCCCACGCCTACACTCAACTCGCTTCGATCTACCTGATCCCCCTCGCCCCCCCCCACAACCCGTGGACCCCACGCCTACACTCAACTCGCTTCGATCTACCTGACCCCCCCCCCCCCCCACACTTTGAAAAATGTTTTGTGGGGTCTGCATGTAACATGTAAGATGCAGATTTTTTTTGTAACATGTAAGATGCAAAAAAAAATATTTTGCCCCCCCCCCCCCAACGATCTTATGGCACTTCGGCCTGCCCGCTGTTGTATTCACGTGTAGGCCTACTTCAATGAATGGATAGACATAAATAGTCGCATGGATGGATACATAATATAGCGTATAGTTGTCGAATATTGGCATGTTTGGCCCTTCATAGTCTCTTCGACTCTGAATAGCTAGCTCACTCACTCACTCAGCTCAGTCGAGCAGCCAGCGCAGCTGCACTGCACTACACACTGTATGCGTACGGCAGAGCTCTTGAAACTGAACGATGTTTTTCTCTGATTTTCTTGTGAAAACTTTCCTTTAATAAATGATAATCAAAACTGAGTAAACATGGCCAGAATAATCACAAAATAAGCTTTGATTTCATACCTCCACTCACGAAAACTATATAAAAATCCCGGCAATAATGATGGAAATAGGTCTCTAAGTTTGGACGTGGATATGGGAAGACATCTGTTGCGCTGATTTTAGGCCTAGATATCATGAAATAAGCTAATAAATATCAAATAAAGACTCAACTCGTTTAAATTTTAAATATGAGGTCTACATTTTAATTAAAATTAAAAAAATGGTAAAGATTACAACATCTAAAATATACAAAACAAACACGGGGAAGAAAAAAAAAAATTGAGACGGAGGCGGGATCGAACCCGTGCGTGCAAAAAGTGCAAGAGCTGCCGTCGAATCGAACGCAACCGGCGCCTCAGACCGCTCGTCCACTTCCGTTTCATGCTAAAGCATGAAATTCGTGACGGATAAGTGGGACGTGCGGACGCATCGACGATGTCGACGACGACCGGGACGTCGCACCGGGCCGGGACGTGGCCAATTCCGTAGATTGAAACCCCGTCCGTCCACGGGACCGCCCGGCGGCGCCCGGGGGCGGGCGGGAGGGGAGATTTGGGCGCCGTAAAATGGACCCCGGATACCCCCCTCGACGCCTTAGCGTATTATTATATGGATGAATTGTTGAAGGTGTGATCAATCAAACACAAATTGACAACTCTGTGACATATCTTACAAGCTCCCCTCCCATTTGCTCTATACTAAAAAACCTCTGTGAAACAAATGTATTCCATCATCTATGCCTAAGAAAATGAAAGTTTATGACATTTTCTGTACAGAGCAAAATAGAGGGGAGCTTGCAATATATGTCAAAGTGTTACCAATTTCAGTTTCACTGATGACAACTTAAAAAGTTCATAACTTTTTATCAACACTAATTTAAAATCAGGGTTATATATACAGGGGCGGCGATCAAGGGGGCGGGGGCGACACGTCCTCCCCTCAATTTTTTTTGGGGGGGGGGATTTGAAAAAGTGCCCCCAAAAAATGTATAACAAATACTGACTATACTGCCCCTGGCTGCTCATCTGACCGTAATTGAATGCTTAAAATAAACCTGAGCTTTCGAGGGCTCTGCCCCCTAGACCCCACTCCAGTTAGTGACCTGCATGCCAGTGTCATAAATGAGGTATCAAAATATGCTCACCGTAATTAAATGCCCAAAACCCGGGCCTAATTAAAACCCTTGAGGAAAAAAACTCATCTGAGTGATTTGACCGTCAATAAATGCTTAAAACCCCTGAGCTTCATGGGGCTCCTCTTGACCCCCACCGAGCTAAAAAGGCCGAGGCTTGGTCCCTGGACCCCACGCCAAATTACGCTCCACTTGCTTCGCTTGCATTGCTCTACCTGATCGTAGATCTAAATAATGTAGACTAGCCCCTCCCCCCCCCCCCCTTTTCCCGGTTATGAAAAGAAATCGCCACCCCTGTCTAGATGCGTATTCAATTTTTTTTAAAGGATTACTTACCAAGTTTACGAATTGGAGACGGTTTGCGGGAATTAGAGACCTCATTGAAATATCGTTGATAGTCCATATCCATGATTGTATTTGCTGTCGACGCGTAGCGACAGTGTAGTCCCGCCCGTATACTCATGGCGTGTGGTGCGTGTGGCTGACAAACAAGCGACATAGCTCTGCCGGTAAACCAGGGTATAAAAGTTAAGTATTTGGACTTCATGCTGGTGAACAAATGCATACAACTAATGGCAGGTAAAATGCAACTTTTTAGGACTTTCCGGATCATCAAACTATTTTTCGCAAAGATTTTGAGAGTTGTTTCCCACTGCACTGTTGATATATTAGTAGTCTTAATGCAGACAGAATGGTGTGTATTTATAAAGAGGGTGTTTTCATATATTAATGAATGTGGTTTAGTTTGGTTTGATGGTTTGACTTGGTTAATTCATTTCTAAAATGTTAATATATTAGACAAATGTAAAAAATATTAACAAAATACGTCTTCTTTTGTAAAAGATAATATGCAAAAATGAAGAAAAAAATGTCTTGAAATTAAGCTACTGATTGATGCTTGTGTACGTCTGATCAACGAGATACCAGCACCTCTCTTTGGTCTGATTTGATCATAATATCACAGGGGAGGATCTAGCTTTTTGCCAGGGGGAGGGGGGGGGGGGGGGGGGGGGGTGGGGGGGGTGACCCAAAAAAATTCCAAAAATCGCGCCGTTTTAATGTTTTAATTTTGTTCTTCTTCTTTCACTTGGCCGTCCAAGGGGCCCGGCCCCCCCACTCAGGTTTCAAAATGACCGCATGCGTGTTGCCAAAATGTCCTTTTCGTAACAAAAGAAAAAGGTCGAGCCGTATTGACTTTACACACCGGACTTTTGCTGAAAAGGGGGGATGCTGAAAAAGGCTCGTATACAAAAGAAAAAGGTCGAGCCGTATTGACTTTACACACCGGACTTTTGCTGAAAAGGGGGGGTCGGTTGGAACACGCATATGCGTACCCTAAATAACACTGAGTGGGGGGGCCGGGCCAAGGGGGAGGGGGACCGGGGGTTAAACCGCCGATCAATCCCCACTCCCCCTACTGATCCGCCCCTGTACTGCCCCGGGATCAGCACATGCCTGATTGACATGTCCAGAGGAAGAAGAGGCCAAGGATCAGCGAGGTGGAGTGGGAAGTACTATTCAGTTCAGTTTAAATTTATTCCACTTTCTCATAATACACACTACATAAACAAAACAAAGCAGCGCATCGGTACAATACATGCATATTGCAACTTACGGGGGGGGGGGGGGGGGTACTCACATATTAGGACATACGGGAGCGTGCCGCTCTAAATGGGTCACTTTTTCACACACAAATCCCTAAACATGGGTCCCACTTTTACCATTAAAAATGGGTTCGTTTTTTTTTTATTTCGAAAATTGTGAAAAATTGGTCTTTTTCGAGAAAAATTCCCCCAAATGACCCCTAGTATAATAGGTAGGGGTTTCGAGGCTTGAGCGACACACCCCTGTCCAAATAAAATCTGAGTATTCCCCCCCCCCCTCCCCCATGATTGAATGGTGTAGGCCTACATACTTCTTTAGTGAACACATACATTGCATCATTATCAAAGAATTGTGTAAAAATAATGTAGGCCTAATCTAGGTAACATTGTTCAGATGAGAGAAAGTGGTGCTAAGGTAGTGACTTCAATCATATGCTAGATGTACAATTAAAAGATAATTTGAAAGTTTGAGTGAAAACGGACCATTAATGATATAAATTGGGAAAAACTGATCTGATCGATTCCTTAATTCTCCCAACTATATTATTACAATTTAATTACATCTTAGGTGAATGTAAATCATCACAAAACAATGAATTGGCTCTATATACCATTCCAGACATTAATTTTAAGTGTTGATAGATTTTTAAAAGCCTGTCTTATGTCTTTTTTTGAAAAAACGGTTTGGAAAATTCAAAAATGGTTGGAAGAATTTACTGTTAATCACTGTTAGAGGTTGTTGCACAGTGACACCTTCAAAGAAAACCATAGATATCTTAGTGGTTTGAGGATTTTTTCTGGATTTTTTTGCATGTTAGAGGGTTAGTACAGTAGAAGGAATATAATAAGTAACATTTCATACAAACATTATGCAATTTTTTCATCAACTTTCAACGATGTTACCGAGTCACTTTAATCTTATTACATCTTAGTTTGAGAAAAAAAAAATGGAGGAACCTATAAAAGAAGCAGAGCTTGTGAAGCTAAAGGTCCCCTTTTAGGAAAAAATCAAACTTGTATCCAAGAATGAAAGAAGGGGGAAATAACGAATTTAGTGCAAGGACATGGAGGGAAAAGTGAAGAGAATAGGGTAGACATTGAAGAAGGAGAAGTAGAAAAGGTGAAACAACAGGAAGGACGAGGGGGAAGAGAGATTGAGAGAGCGAGCTAGACGGGGAAAGGGAGAGAATCGGATTTACAATAAAGCTTGAAGAAGGAGGAAAAGGGAAAGAACAGGAAGAAGGAGCTAGGGGAAGAGAAAGACAGAGAGGGAAGATTGAGAGAGAGAGAGAGAGAGAGAGAGAGAGAGAGAGAGAGAGAGAGAGAGAGGTGCAGCATCCTTCAAGCAAGTACATTTCAACAAAAGGTTAGTAGTTGTAACAATGAAGAACTGTCGGGCTTAGGCCTATCACGAGAAGCCTATTGAAATTTACAAAGGAAGAAACCCGTTGAAGGTATGTGCAACATAGTTTCTTATGAGATAATACATTTGAATACATTTGAGTTAGGATAGCAAAGTCCTGCACCCACAAATAATGGTAATCATGAGTACTCTGCTTTATTGTATAGAGTACAACACAAAAGTGAAGAAGCTACGTATACAATGTAATGGCACATGATTGTGAATGGCATAACATATCCCATGTTTTTTTTTAATCAATTTCATATTTTTCCTTTTTGTCAACCAAGATATTAAAAAAATATATGTAATGAGCTTGAGAGAAAAAAAAATGAAATTCTTAGGCATGATGGACACACGAATGTTCATGAGAGAAAAAGATTGGTAAATGGAAAGATCTTATTTCCCTTGATGATGAGGTAATACACTGGGATGCTATTTATTTGAATAATTATAGATAATAAAAGAAAAACAACTTCATTTATTCTATATAAAATGCTGTTTGGAGTAGACAGAAATCTTGAATATGGTTTATGCATATCTTCTTTTTTTTTTACTCCTTCACTTATCTATATGCAAATTTTAAGGATCTACTTTGGATTTTGAAATGTTTTAGCTTTAGTAAAAAGTAAACAGCGAATTTAATATGTGATAAGTCTAGCTATAAACAATTTTTGTTTAAATCTATTTAAAAAAGGGGGGTCATCTGAGGAAGTGGTCTTTGTTTCGTCATGATTACTTCTATGCTTAGCCAGAGACACACTAACCTTGTGTGTTGAGTGATTTACTATGTCTATGATAGCGACTGGAGATTGAAATTATGTAATTCTGCTCCTATCAGTTGTTTTTGTTGGCTAATCAAGTCTCGATTTTAATTGTTGCAAGAAAAAGTAAAAAGAAGAAAAGAAGAAAATTTGTACATGTACAAGTACATGTATACAATATTTATTTTATGTAGCCTATAATGATATTAATTTTATTTGTTACAAACATATAGTTTGATATGATTTTCTATAAACAGTCTTTAGTCATATTTAGAAGGAAAAAAATCCTTTACTATGAGTAATAATTATGTAGGTCTATTATATAATTATGATTTATCAAAGCATATACAATCAGTAGACCTGAGCTGTCTCCAGGGGAATGTGCCCCGGGGAAAAAGAAAAGTGGAAACAAAAGAAAAAATGGGAGAATTTCAAAGTCTCAAATAAAAACGGAACTAGACTAGAATAAACGAAGAAAGGGAAAAAAGGAGAAATGAAGGAAAAGGTATTTAAAATAAGAGGAAACTTAATGCAAGATATTACATGATTACTGTAACTGAGCTGTTAAAAATGGCAATATCAAGCGAAAAGAACAGGGTATGCTTATAGAATTACACCGGAAACACATGCAAAGGCTCGGTCCAGCCAGCGGTTAACAAAAACTATAACACAGTACTGATTGTGGATAGTTGATTCCTTTGTTGTGACTAAACATCAATTTTTAGGGGGTATCAATACAACCATATAGCTACAAATAATTATTTCAGGAATATCATAACTGAATAACTGATCATAATGTGAGGAAAAAAACCTAAAGGCGCGAATTCCCAAGTGCATGGCCAGTCAGCCCTAGCTGACTACTACGCTCAAAGGCTGAGAATGACATCATTGCTTCTTGCATCATAATAATTGGGCATTATTCAGGGGACACAATTAAGGCATTCACTGCATGGTCATGAAATAGAATAAACAGTTCGAGTTAGTTAGGGCAAATGATTAGGGTGTGAAGTATTGCAGGGGGTACTAACATAATTTTGTTTCAATATATGTATTACTTTTTCATTCAATTTATTCCTTTTTAACTTGTACCGGATGTTCTAAGTATGTTACCATGCAGCTCAACCCATCAGGTATATATTCCAGAGACTAGAAGACGTAGAGGTTGAGTAGGCCGTTTACATCAAAATTCCCCAACCGAATTCAATCTCAATCTATCCGTGGCAGTATGCCTATTTCTATCTATTATTATTTTCAGTGTTATATAATCAGAGTTGCCCCTTTCAACACAATCACAAAGAATTTTGTAAAAAAAACATAATGCATTTTCAATAGCCTTGTCCATAGACTCGTTGAAATGTTCACTAGTTGAAACTTTCACAAATGTTCAAAATGGCCTGAAACATAATATGCACAATTTATTTGAGATGATTTTGAGTTTTTAAATTTTTTTACGCGCGATTTTTATATGTCGGTATATGCTGCGTAATAAGTTGACGTGTCATGGCGATATTCACAAAATTGCGCCTAGATGACGTCACATTATGCATATGCCCTTGACAAGTTCTGTATGTCCAGTCCAATCCTCGATTTAAGGTCTACCTTATATGCAATGTTGAACAAAATGCATTAGCCACTCTTGATATATCTATTTCACACAAAAATGGACAGGGAAAAAAAGGAATATAAGAAATGATAATATATATTCGTGCATTCCATCTAGCAAAGCAGTACACCCCTCTCTCTCTCTCTCTCTCTCTCTCTTTCTCTCTCTCCCCCCCCCTCTCTCTCTCTCTCTCTCTCTCTCTTTATCTTTACCTCTTCAGAGGGACATTGTTACTATTTCAAATGCATATTCGTATATTAACAACACAAGCATGACTATTATAGGCCTACATGAATTATGTACGAGATCAGAATACTAATAGCCATGGATGTTATTTTTGCATTCATTTTCTTTTTGTGCCTCG